GAAAGAAGCTAAAGTATGAGGACATTCTATATTAGACTAGCATTCTGAGTGTGTATGTGGTGGGGGGGAGGACATAGAACTGTGGAAAAAAATAGACTTTAAGAAGGAAAACGAATGAACCTTCTCACCCCTAGGAGAACAACATTCTTTAGCTTATGTCTTCATTTCTTTTCCTGTTACTATAATAAAATACCCTGACAAAAACAACTTAAGGAAGGAAGGACTTATTTTAGCTCACAGTTCAAGGCAGCAGGAACTTGAAGCAGCTATGCTACTTTTGCACATTATGTCCACAAAGCAATCAGAAGAGAGCAAAGAATATGTGCAAGATCACGTTCAGCCGCTTCCTTCACTCTTTTACAGCCCAGGATCCCCAGCCTACAGAATAGTGCCACCCACAGTGGGTAGGTCTTCCCACCTCAGTTAACATAATGAAGATAATCCCCTATAGGCATACTCTGTTGTTTAGAGTCCACTAGAAAATAATATTTAAAAGTCACTATGTGTTTTGAAGATATCAGCATTTCTATCATGCCAGCATAAAAACATTTAGATTATTGGGAGTTGTCACTTAAAGAAATAAAATGATATAGACATCAAGAGAACATTAGCTGAGTGAATAAGTAGTGTCTTCCTCATTGGTTCATACTAGGTTTAACTGGGAGTAACAGGAACACCCAACACAGTAATGGCTTACACAAGAAAAAGTCTTCAGAGTCCCAGCTCCTGAAGTAGTTAGGGTTAAATGTCTCTCATATATAGAAATACAGGATTGGACTGTCCAAAGACAGAGAAGCAATTGCATGTCATCTCCATGATCATCAGAACCCAGGCTCCTAGCTTGTAACTTTCCATCATCAGCACTATGTTTCTACCTCATGGGCCAAAGTGGCTGATCCAGCTCTTACCATGATGTCCACATTCCTGACAGTAAGTAAAAGGGAAGGCAAGAAAGAAAGAATCCTTCTCTAGGAACTTCCCAGACCCATCACCACCACTTCTGCTTATGTGTAACTGCCCATAACTCAAAACTTATTTAGTTATTTTTCTTATTGCTGTGGTCAAACACCTGAAAAGACACAACTTAAGAAGAGAGGTCTATTTTTGGCTCACGGTTTGAAGAGATACAGTCTGTCATAACAGGGAAGGCATGACGGCCAGCAATGGCTTGGCAGTGGGAGCTTGTGACAGGTACTTACATTTCCATGGATCAGGAAGCACAGATCAGATAGGAAGAGGGACCAGGCTACACATTTCAAGGTCCATCCCAGTAACCCACTTCCTTTAGTGAGGGTCCAACTCCTCAAGTCTCCATAACGTCCCAAAACAGTGCTACCAGCTAGGGACCAAATGTTTAAACACATGACTCTATAAGGTACATTTCATGTTCAAACTACAAGTTACATATAAGGAAAGCTGGGAAACAGTCTACTCTGGGTGTCTTGTGCCTTGCCAAAAATTGGAGGATCTAAAGAGGCAAATGAATATTAAAGGATAGTTACCAATTTACTCACCATCTACATTTGATAATTCATAGGCATTTTAAACTGGATATGGCAAACTGTAACCCGCCTTCTCTCCAAGCTTGGTTCTCCTCCAATTTTGTCTGTCCTGGTAAACAGAGAGCCCAATCTGGTTCAAGCTAGAAAGTTACTGTCATTGTTAATGTGTTGGTATTTCTGGATATATGTGGAGTCTGTCTCCATCCCCACTGTCAGTACCCACTGTCCACAGCCTCCTAACTTGTCTCCAAGTATTCCTCTTTCCCACTCCCAACATTGTAACCAGAATGGTTTTCTAAGGAGAAAACCTAGAGTACATTACTCTTCTGCATAAAACCACAAAATCTACTCTTAGTTCTTGGGATCAAGACCCCAGAACTTTACGTGGCTTTCCAATGCCCTGATGCACTCTGCCTTCGACTTCTGCTGCAAGCCCTTGCTCTCTGTGCAGTAGCCTAGCTTGGTCTCTGAGGGTTCTCTGCACATGGTAGACTGCTCCTGACTACCCAAGCTGCTCCCTCTGCTGTTCCCTCCCTCTTCCACCATCACAAGTTCACTCGCTGCTTGAACTCTCAGGGAAGAAGACTAGACTCTCTTAGAATTCTTTGCTATTGTCAGCTTTCACCCTATACTTGATACCATTTGCGCCCATTACATCCCCAGCACTGAAAAAAGTGTTTGCCCTTTATTACTCAGTATGGTGCACAATCCTCAGAGGACTGTCACTATAGATTCTGAGGCCCAGGCCTGCTGACTCAGACTGCATTTAAACAAGATCCCCAATAAACTCCTCTGCACAGTCAAGGTTCAGAGGCACTGGTCTAATATGTCTTAATCATAGTAGTAGTGATAATAGTTAATAGCTTTTAATGGGTTCTGGTAATGCCCTTCAGTTATTCTAAGCACATTATCTACATTAACAACTCTGTGCCTCTCACAGCAACTCTGTGTGATAGATTTCACTTAACAATTCCACTTCATGGATGAAGAAACTAAGGCACAGAGGGATTAAAATAATTTAATCACGAAGTGTGTCTCTTAGAGGAATCTAAATCCATGTCAAACTCAAGATCTCACATCCAATAATAATACTCTTACACTAGTGTTGGTAGTAAAGGGGGATCTAAAAGATCTCTAGCACCTTGCCCAGTAGATGGTACATGGTAGATGCTTGGATTAATTTTCAGATTGCTGTGACCAAATACCCAACAAGAAGCAAGTTTAAAGGAGGAATGCTTTGCTTATTCTGGCTCACAGTTTCAGGGTACAGTTCATCGCAGTGAGGATGGTATGGTGGCGGGAGCAGCTCCTGACGGTGACAAGAGCATGAGGCTGCTTGCTCACACAGAGAAGAGCAGGATGCGGAGAGAGGAAAGTGCTGGCACTCATCTGGCTTCCTCCTTTGTCTCTCCATTTTGGAAATCAGTCCAGTACCCCAGCGAATGGGATGTACTCCCCCTTTCTCAGTTAATCCTCTCTGGAAATGTGCTCACAGACATACCCCAAAGTACACCTCCTAGGAGGTTCTGAATCTACACAGGTAGACAATGAAGATTTACCATGATGGTGCTTAATTACATTTTAATAAATGCTAGCAAGTAAAGAGCTGAAATGTGAATCTTGACAGTCTGGATCTAGAGCCCCTGCTCCTAACCACTCCATGTGTACCATACAGGTCTCCCACTGCATCAGGCACACTGTAGAATACATATTTAGTGATGCATTGCATCAGTGAATGAGTTTGTGGTATAGTAAGTTGTGAACAGGTTTCTCTGGAAATCAGGTAAAGGAGAGCAAGGGAACAGGGCTGGAGATGTAACTCAGTGTTTGATGACTTGTGTAGCATGTGCAAGGCCCTGGGTTCAATCCCCAGCCCTGGAGAGAGGGAGAGGGGAACATGAGATGCAGAGACAGAGACACAGAACATGCATGAAAGAATAAAATAGAAACTGATATAGAACTATCCTTCCCAAAGTGACAAGAAATACTCTAAAGTTATGTTCTTAAGGCCTCAAAAGCCTGAGAAGAGGATGGAGTAATACTACTAATTACCAAAATGTCACTGATCCTTACCTCCATCAATCCCCACAGGCTCTAAGGCCACAGTCCTAATTACTTTCTATTGCTGTGATAAAAACACTGACCAAAACCAACTTGGGGAGAAAAGGGTTTATTTTATCTTACATCTCCCTGAACACAGTTCACCACTAAGAAAAGTCAGAGCAGAAACTGGGGGGAGGAACCTGGAGGCAGGAGATAGAGCACAGACCATGGAGGATGCTGCTTACTGGCTTGCTCCTCAGCCTGCTTTCTTATACAACCAAGGACCATCTGCCCCGGGGTGGCACCACCCACAGTGGGCTGGGCTTTCCCACATCACTCAATAATCAAGAAAATGCCCCACGGACATAGTCACAGGCCAGTCCAATGGAGGAAATTCCTCAATCAAAGTTTCCGCTTCCCAGGTGTATCAAGCTGACAGCTGATGCTATCCAGCACAGCCACCATGAAGATCTTCCTGTCTTTCTGAGACTCCCCAGAGTGTGTCTGACCAGGGCTCACCAGCAACCTTTCTCTTTCCACCACTTTCCCTCTGCTAGCTCTCAAGATGCACCTTAGTCCCTCGGGGCAGCCTCTGTGACTGTGTGCTGCTGGTCCTCCAGCTCCCACTGCCTGCAGTGGATCAGCTGAAGGACTGACTTCTGAAGGGGTAACTGTTGTGTTTGTCTGGAGGGGATGTCTCTGCTGCCTCTTTGTGCTGTTCTCCATTGACAGGTTCTCAGACTGCTTGTGTACCCAGGTCCTGTGGAGACTTCAAATAACTCTTCTGTTCTCCGTGGGGCTCAGGCTTACATCCAAAGGGACATAGGCCACAGGTTATAGAATCCTAGAATCAATGTCGGAACTAGCTGGCTATGCCTAGACCTGCCTCTGCCGTCCAGGTTAAGTCCTATCTCCAGGGACTTCTGGGTTCCTATTAACCACTTCCATAAAAGCACCACAAATTTGTGAAGAAGTTCCAGGAGAGGATCAGGTAAATCTTGTTTCACTGAGACCTGCTTTCCTCCCACAATAACCTACCACAGCATATACTGAAACTTGTTTTAAAACGTATTGGTGCTGGCGTAGTGGCACATACCTCTAATTGCAGCATTAAGTAGGCAGAGACAGTACACTACTGCCTTGAAGAACACAAATTTGTCAATAAACAAAACTGGGCTCACACCTAAATACATTGGAGACTTGGATTTTGTGGGCTAATCAAACCGGGACTGAGACCCTCTCCTCTCAAGAGAACCTGGCGCTGTTTTAGAGACCAGCGATTGGCTTTCTCCTCCCTCTCCCATTGGCCATCCAAGGTTCAGACTTGGTCTTGAACTTGGCAGCACTCTCTTGGTCCCTCGAGTCCAACCGGGCCCTGCCTCTAGCCCCGCCCCTCCCCAGCCAAAGGCCAGTCACAGTCCGCCCTCTGCCTCCACTTCCTGTTCAGCTCTGGAAGCTGCAGGTCAGTTCAGCCGTGTGGCCCTTGGGTCTCCCCTGGGACCTGGTCCTGGCCTGGAACTTAGCGCGGAGCAGAAGCCTCTGGCTCGGGCCCCGGAGCACAGGACGGTATCGGGGGCGGGAAGACGCCGGGGAGCGGTTGCTGGGCGACGGTGAGACTGGCCCCGCCCACTAGCGGAATGGGCGTGGTGTTGGGGCGGGACTGGGGTGTGAGTCCTCTGTGCACTCTGCCCTAAGCTGTTGCTCTGAGCAATCACTGAGAGCCCGGGTTGGGTGGCTTTGGACCGCTCACTGCAGACAGACCAACTGTCCTGTCCGGGTCCTTGAAGTGCCCAGCCTCCCTTCGTAGGCTTGGACAGGTTAATGCTCATCCCTCGGCCTCGTTCTGAGCCAGAAGCCCCAAGCGATAGTTCAGGCAAGCCACACCACCAACCCTGCTTCACCGATAACGGCACCTCACTAAGCCGCACCTGCAGCCTGAGCCACAGTCAGCCCCGTGGTGTCCTCCAGGTTCCCTTTAAGGTTTCCATAGCACGGACCGGGAAACAGACGCAGAGCAACCCACCCGTGGCTTGTCTCTGGCAGAGTTCTAATTCATACTTGTATCTGTGTAACATTACTGCACTACCAAGCCTAGGTGTGAGCCAAAGTCGCACGATGCAGTTGGGTTAAAATATGCATTCTTGGGTGCCCTCCCACGGCCGGGGTATCCGTTTTATAAGCTTCAGGTGATCTTAAAGATGTGTGGCTAAACCTTTGGGTACTACTGAGTGTATCATGTATTCTCAAAAATAACAGGTCATGGGGGCTGGAGAGATGGCTCAATGGTTAAGAACACCGGTTATTCTTGCAGAAGACCCGGGTTCGAATCCCAGCACCCACATGTCAGCTAACAACTGTCTGTAACTCCGGTCCCAGGGGATCTGACAGCCTCGTCTGACCTCCGCAGGCATTGCACGACATGGGCGGACTTACCTACATGCAGGCAATACACACATACACATAAAGTAAATATTATAAATAAAAATTAAAAAGAAAATAACGTCATAAACCAAAGTACCTTGGAGAAGACCGCAGAAGAGATCCAGGTTTACTTTGACACCAAGTTCTGGCCCTCTCCCCAATTTGTACCATCTCCTCCAAAACAAGCCAGAGGCATAGGTTTTAAACAAGTGTGGACATTTAAATGCAAATGGTCTCATCTCTGGTTGCCTGTTAAACTGTCAAGTCCAAACTTTTGACTAGGCCTGCCTGTCATGACCAAAGTCAGGTATTAGCCTCCTGCTCCAGTCCTGGAAGGCTATTAGTGGCCCCCCCACACACACACTTCTTTTGCACCAGGTCCCTAAATCACAGTGGCTGACATTGGCTTTGGAGGAGTTATTTACAGAGCCATTTCCCCAATGGAGTGAGGTCTGGGAGCTTTCAGGAAGTAATGCCACAAATAGTGTCCCTTGGCCTTAAACAGCAGTCTCGGGGAAATGGATCACCCTGCTGTTATTCATGACGTTTATAAACACAAATCTGCCTTAAAAGTAATCACCTGGCTCTTGGTCTTAGAAGGCTAATAAGCCTGACAATTCTGTTTAGTGTTTTATTATTAATTTCATAATTTATGCTGCCTTCCCCAGAGAGTTTGGTCCACAATGGCTGATGATCAAGAGAGAGACTTGCAAAGATTTCTGAAAAATGTGGATGAAATCAGTAAGTAGCAGTAAATTACAAACAAACTAAACTCTGCTTTGGAGAGGTGGAATGGCTGAAGAGAAATGATCACTCCACAGTTGGCTCCCGCATTGCTTGACAAGTTTATGACTCTCAAGAAAAAAAATGTAATTGCAATTAAACAGAAAGGGTATTGAGAACTAAGTCGGAGCCTCAGGGCAATATTTTCTGGCTGTTAATTGGTATCATAGAAGCTGTTAGCATTCTGACTGAAATTCAGGCGGAAGGCTCTCCCCACATCTTGCCTCAATCCAGTCAACAGGAGCTGCTGGTTCTCCATTGCCAGCAAGCCTAGCCCCATTCATTCTCTTCAAGGAGATCACTCAAGACCCTGCTTGGTCAGTCTAAGTCCCTCCTGTTTTTAGGTGGAACTATTTCTGGTTGTGACCTACAGAAATGCAATCAAGTGATTTTCCCTCGGGAGCCACCAAATTACATGTCTGGCTTTTCATTTCATCCACCTCCCTGTCTCTCTGGGCAAGAGTACCCTTCCCAAGCTCAGACAGGACCTCAGAGAAAGTACTCTGAACCCACACAGCACATTGGAGATTCCAAACCACTCCTTCCTGTTCAGACTTCCGGGAGTTTCTTTGAGGTTAGAAACAGCACGCATACACACATACACACTCACATCCCTTACATAGCGGATAGAAATATGTTCAAATACTTCCGGCAGACTGTATGGGTGGGTGCATGGAATAAAATAGATTTAAAAACGGGGTAACCTAGCAATGCACACTAGGGTGCTCTTCCTGTTTCTCACCAGCCTCTCCCCTTCACCTTCCTGAATGCTATTGGCACACTGCTCACCTGTCTGTCTCTTCATGTGGTTTGAACCGGCCTGTTTACTGATGACTCCCATGCCTGTATTTCCACTCAGCCTTCTTTGTGGTGTCTCAGCTCTATGGACAATTGCCAACTCCTGTATCCCAAAGATACTTCCAATGTGTCTAGAACCGGGCGCCATCTCTTGCCCTCCTCTCCCCCTTCTAAATGAAACCTGCCCCTTCCACCTGTTCCTTCTTGCCAGAGGCACCACCATTTAAAAATCTGTCTCCCGTAGGCCTCAGGTTTGCCTTGTCTCCCCAGCTCCAACCTCTCCAACCCACGCTTTGTTCCGGCTCCTCTCAGCAGACACTTAACAACCCCTAATTGTTGCTCCTGCCACCAGGCTCACACTCCCCACAGAGTAATGTATCTAAAATGCAAATCTGGCCAGACACTTCTCTGCTTGGGTCCCTCCACAGTCACAATAAATTAGAAGCTCTCATCAGGACCCAAGTCCTCATGTGGCCTTGTCTTTGCGCCCTCTCATCTCCAGATCCTAGACTTGTACAGCAACAAATGGCTTCAGGTTTTCTCCTCAGACTCTGATGTTTCACACTGTCCTCTTGGACTTTGCCGTTCCCTCTGTGCCCACCCTCCAATCTTTCTCTCCCTGTCTAGCTTTTATTCACACTCAGCGTTCACTCAAGTATTGTTTATACTAACTTCCTCTAAGCGAACTTTCTGCAGTGATGCAAGTGCTGTGTAATCTGCCCTGTCCACTGTGCTAGCCACCACCCACAGGTGGCTGCTGAACACTGAAAAGGCAGCTTGTGTGACCAAGTTTCAAATTTTATTGCATTTTAACTAAATGTATATTGCCACGTGGCTATACATTCTCTTCACCCATTCCTTGGACTCTTGCTATGTGTTGATTATTGCTAGGTACAACACAATCCAATAAAGGAATTAGTTTCCTTTATGATATCTGTGGTTCTGTGGGAAACAAATAATATCATAGTGGTGTACAGAAGAGAGAGGTAAAAAGTGCAGAAGAATTGAACCCAGTTTAGGCACTCGTATTAGTCTGGTAGGATTTCTATAACAAAATACCACAGGGTATGTTAATTATACATTGGAAATATTTTATCACCATCTGGAAACTAGACTGTAAGAACAAAGGTTGGCATGGTTAGTGTTTCCTTAGACCTCTGTATTTGCCTTGCAAAAGGCCACCTCTAAGTGTGTGTTTACACACTCATTTCTTTGTGTATATTCTTTGTGTATATTTTTTGTGTGACTATGTGCATATATGTATATACAAGTGTGTCTGCATGTGCATGTGTGTGCAGGTGAGTACATGTATCTGTGGAGGCCACCTTTTTTTTTTTTTTTTTTTTTTTGATACAGGGTTTCTCATTGGATCCAAGGCTCATTGATTAGAAAAGGTTTCCTGTCTGGCAAGCACCAGGGATCCACCTGTCTTTATCTCCCTAGTACTGAGATTACAAATGTGCCACACCATGCCCAGCTTTTTACATGGGTTCTAGGGATCAAACATAGGTCCTCATGCTGATACAGTGG